ACAGGAAGGATGTCAACATGCTAACCACCATTCATGACGAACGCATGTCAGACGTCTCTGTCCGGGGCAGAGTAGAGTCCAAACCGGTTTGCATCAGGGCGTATAATAAGTACATGGGGGGGGTGTTGATTTGGCTGATCAGCTGATGCAGCTATATCTTATTTTATGAAAAACCAAAGCATGGTATAAAAAGGTGGCTATCAATCTGATGCAAATAGCAACCCACAACAAATTTTTGCTTTTTAAAAAAAAATAATCCAGGGAAAACCACCTTTCTCCAATTTCAGTTGAAAATCATTTCTTTTACAATTTATGGAGATGGACAAGTTCCAACAACGGTGCAAGCTGAGTCCAGCAACCCTATACATGGGGGGTATGTTGCTGAACATATTGGGCAGTGTTTGGCAGTGACACATAACAGGATCTGTTAATTCATGCCTTAAGTACAATGTGTGTGACAAAGAAACAAAAAAAAGATTACTACCCAAAAGTTTGACAAAGGCTGGTGGTAGAATTCAGTGCATGAAAAGTGTTAAAATACCACCATTTAAAATGCCCTGGGTTGTCTACTTTCAACAATATATGGTTTGATGGGGTAAAATACATTGGCTCAAATGGGACATGGGCACAGGTTGATTACATGTTAAAATTCCAAGTTGGGAAACTAATAAGTGCACCTGCCAAACGTGGCCTTTTAGCCACCAAAGAACCCGACAAGCCTATGCATGAGTGGTATCACTGTATTCATGAGATCTTGCTAAACACATATTGGGGTGTTGTTTGGCAGTGATACATAACAGGATCTGTTAATTCATGCCTAAAGTACAATGTGTGTGAAAAAAACAGAAAATAAATTACTAACTCAATGTTTGACAAAGCCTGGTGGTAGAATTAGTGCATGGAAAGTGTTAAAATACCACCATGTGAAATACCCTAGGGTGTCTACGTTTCAAAAATATATGGTTTTATGGGGGTAAAATACATTGGCCGGCTTCAAAAATGTCCCAAATAGGACATGCATGCAGGTTGACTACATGTCAAAATTCCAAGCTGGGAAACTGATATGCGCACCTGCCAAATGTGGCCTTTAAGCCCCCCAACAACCTGACACACCTATACATGAGGGGTATCCCTGTACACGGGAGATGTTGCTGAACACATATTGGGGTGTTGTTTGGTAGTGACACCTAACAGAATCTGTGAAATTATACCTGAATTGCAATGTATATGAAAAAAATAAAAATAATAAACTACCTATGCAAAGTTTGGCAAAGGTTTGTGGTAAAATGGCTGCATAGAAAGTATCAAAATATTCTTAGATGAATACCGTGGGTTATCTAGTTTAAGAAAAATATATACATGTGGGGTGTTTTTTGGAGATTTATGACAGTGTTACAATGTTACTATTGATACATTTGAAAAATGTACATTTTGAAACAGCAATTTCCTACTTGTACTTATAGCCCTATAACTTGCAAATAAAAGCAAAAGAACACATAAATATTGGGTGTTTTTAAACTCAGGACAACATTTTGAATCTATTTAGCAGTTTGTTTCATTCGATTTTGTAGATCAGTAAAAGATTTTTAAGTAAAAGTCAAAAAACTTTTTTTTTTAATTTATCACCATATTTTATTATTATTTTTAATTAAATTATATGACATGATAAAAATAATAGTATGTAAAGAAAGCCCTTTTTGTCCTGAAAAAAACAATATATAATTTGTATCGGAACAGTAAATGAGAGAGCGGAAAATTACAGCTAAACACAAACACCACAAAAGTGTTAAAATAGCTCTGATCCTTAACGTACAAACATTGCAAAAACAGTCCGGTCCTGAAGGGGTTAAAGAAAAACTATACTGTTATTTATGTAACATTTATTTTGGTTTTTACCTTTACAGTAAGTCCTTAATAATTAATCCCTTATTTTAAAGGGTTACTCCAACCAAAAGTAGTGTTTTAATAAAACATGGGTAACCCCCAAAGGAAAAAATAAGAAAGAATTAAAGGTAAAGTTTATCTTAGATCTCGTGTCTAGACCTTGTCCCTCCTGCGGCACAATCCTTCCCCAGTGATGTCACTCCACCTCACTGCAGAGGGAGGGAAGTCAGGGAGGATGGGCTAAGGCACACGTATGCGTGCTGACAACAGGTGACCAATGTGCACAGAGTTAACATGCAACAGTTAGGAACTCTCGTTCTGGGATGGCTAATGACTCTGTCGGAGGTGGAGTTCCAGCAGCACTGAGCTACTTCCCTGTATGGGCATCTTTTGAAACTGAAAACCTGTACATTCCGGTTCCAAGCACCATGATCACTTCAAGGCACTGAAGTGGCTATGGTGCTTGAAGTAACCCTTTAAGTGAATTCTTCACATTATGCAAAAACCTGCTGATTTTCTAAATAAAGTGGAAGAAATATAAAATATAACTTTTAAGTAATATAAAAAACAAAAACAAATGTAAACGTAAAATATTCAGATTACAGTATAATTAGTGTATTGAATTCAGTCTGTCTAGCCTATCATTCCCCCCTCCCCCTCAAAAAAAGTACATTTGTTAATAGTGGTGAATTCTTACTTTAAAACTAAACAACTAATTTCTGTTAATACACAATAACACATCTGTTGCTGAATAAGTGTGGTATAGGCTACAAATTAGGTAGGAAAAAAATATAAAGGTTATATATAAACAAAAATAAGAACAACAATAAGTAAATCTATCAGCTAAACAGATGATTGTATTACCTCCCAATACAAAGGACTGAATGCTAATAAAGCTTCTCCATAAAGCCTCGTAGGACTGAGTAGCTGAACTATCCCTCCCAATAGTGATTGGTTGTAGACTGCCCCCTGAAAATTTAAAGTTGGATAGTGGTCTAAACCCGATAGTGGAGATGATTTGTGTTGCTAATGTTAGAGCAAGTCGATCTGTGAAGAGTACATAGGATACCCAACACATAATGGAAAATAAATGTTGAAACCTCAACAGAACTCAATAGCGAAGGTAGTGTGTGTTAGCCATCTAAATCTTGAATTTTCTTCTAGGGCTCTCATTGGTTACAGCATAAGAGGATGGAATACGATCTTCTTAAAGTGGTTGTTGTTTCCCAAGTACATATCAAGGTACATGAGGTTAAGTCAACAGAGAGCAATAATTTACAAAACATCACCCCACCATCTTAAAACTGTACACACCACCACTGCAAGAAGATATATTTGAAAACTAGAGAAATCTAAATGTGGCCTGGTAAAAAAAAAAAAATATTAATATAATGAATAATCTTACCTCAAGTCACAGCTATTCAGCACAACAACACAACCTACAAGTCAAATAGATTTTCTTTTCAAATAGTTTTTATTGAAAATGTTTGCAAAGTTAACAGCAAATTATAACAGTATAACGAGGGTAGGGGAAGGAAGGGAAAAACCCGGAAGTGGGAAAGGGGGATATCCATCCATTATAGCAATAAGTACATTAATATACAAGGCATATAAA